TTCAACGTGACTTTACCGAAAGAGCTAAGAATATGAATTACTGCAGTCACGAAAGCTTTAAATGGAAAAATGTAGGCTATTTTTTTTACAATGATAACCATTACTCATTAAGCAACAGCATATGCTTCATTCGAAGGGCACATATTCAATATTGATAATGCACACATGTCTGAAACACATGTTAACATAAAACTTAATAACTTAAATTGTCGAACATATAAATAGGCTTCAATTCTCAAGAATTGAAAAAAGGAATGAAATATATATTCTTTTGCGGTGGTATGTTGAGGGTTGGCATGGTTATCAGAAATCATGTGAAATCCAGCCACGCTTCAGCCCCCCGTCCAGTGGGGCAAACGGCCACATTGCGTGTCAGTGGTTGTAATCAGCTCATCAGAACGGACAGCGAAAGGAGGACAAAACCAACCCCCATTGTTCTCACAGAGATGACTGCCCGTATATGGTGCAGATTATCGAGAAAATGTATCACTAGTGCAAAAAAAGGATACCTTGTTCCAAGACTTGCATGGTAATGTGGTGATAAATTGTGTAGTTTTAAATGGGCTACGCAAGCCTCATATTGTATCAAATATATGAAGGGATTCTGATTTTCCGTGATTAATGCCATTTTCCTTTTTTTACTGTTTGTGGATGTGAAAAAGACCTGAGAGGGTTTTGATGTTTTCGCTTTTGCATAATAGAATGAGTCACTTGTTAGTTTAAGCTTTGTATCTTTATTTACTGTAAATCCAGCTTAAAAGGAAATTATGAAAAATGTTTTACAAACTTACCATTTTCTGAATAAAGCTATGTTCTCTTCCACCATCAGTATCAATCTTGATCCATCCACCGTTGGAAAAACACTTGCCCGAATGGTGCTGACATCTCTCACGGCTTCGCAATACAATTATATCCATCTCGCTCCTGCCAATACACACTGCTTTCACAGATCCATACCCTATCGTCGTCATCCTCTTGGGTGAGTTCCATCCTTGGCTGCCATTCTGTCACCAGTCTCGAACGTCAATTTCTGCTGAAGCCAATTAATTTGAGTAACTTGTTGTTGGGGGTATTTGTTATCGATATTGAATAAACTAAATTATCTGTGTATATCGAGTTGTTTTATTGAGGTAAATATGTTAAAGCTGTATAAATGTATCACCAAAAAACGATATTTTGAATAATGTACGCACACGAAGGCTGTCCTATGCAGTCGCTCATTCTCACATAAAAATGCGGACTGTCCGCCACTGCCTCAAGATCGACAATGGAGATTAACATTGTCCACCACTCGCCTATCCTCGGTATACCATGACCGTTCCTCTTGATGGACAAAAAGGCACACTAACAGATTCACACGTTTTTTTGCTTTCCCATCAACATCGTCTGGGTGCTACATGACATGTATTTTTTGTCAACTTAAACATATGCTATGTGCATATTGATGCCATAATTGATATCTCCTGGTTATGGTTTCACAATATTTCTATTTAATTTTGTTAAAAACACATAAATGCCTTGCGACTGATTAGCTTGCAGCTTTGAAATATATGACCAAAGAGTTAATTCGATTTTACATTTTATAAGCTCTACATTACTATAATTCAAGGGGGGGGGGGGGGTCACAAGCACTACAGAATAATGAATTATACATCATCTTCAATATAAGAAGCAGTAAAAATCATGAACCAGCAGCTTTATGGCGCTGCATATATGTCGAGGGTTTAAAACAATAACCCTGAATACTGTGCAAATAATTGATTCATGTTTTGAGTATTAATTGCCATCAACTAAGAAGCATTAATGTGGCAAGCTATACAGCGCAGTAAAACAGCTCCCTTCACTCCCTTCAGCAAACTACATGTGGCACACCACGAAGATTTTGCAATTCTCACTTGAAACTGAGCTACAGAGGTTTTTAAAAGACCCATTCCAGTCTTTTAGCCCATAGCAGCAAAAAAAATCAGTTTTAGATTAAAATGTCATAAAACCATGCACATGATAACCCAACTAAATTTTTTATGAAACATGCAGCATGTGTCCAAGCAATTATGGGTTGAGTTGTTTTTATAGAGCTTAATAAAAGTCTCATGTATTACTTTATACTGTGGGCATGAAAAAAAAACACATTTGATCCGTGTTATTAGACGCCTGAAAATAGGGCATACGGCCGTAGAATATACAGTGTTTTGATAATTGCACTTTAAGCATAATGTAATGATCACGAGACAAAATGTAATGTTTTACATGCAATAAATGGGGGTCAATAAGAGGTGACTAATTTGGCCGAATAAGATGTGCCCAATACATGCACCTTTGTTAAAAAAATCTAGAATCTAAGTTTAGATTTTTTATGCACACAGCCAACCATATGTAGATATGAATTAAACTTCAAAAAATTGACAATATTTAAATTTACTTCACCTTCAATGATCCTAAGGTGGAAACTCAGATTGTGAAATCTAAAGTTTACCCATCAGTATAAAATCAATGTAGGATTGTTGTAGTTTTGTGGGGAAGTCTGTGCCTCAGTACGCTAGACAGTCGAAGTTCCCCGCTGCGATTTCACAATTACATCTTTCATTTCATATTCATGAGTATAAAAAAATAACAGCACGCCAAGGTGAACATCTTGTTGGTGTTCGCTTGAGGAGATTTCTATTTCCAAACTCTTGTTATATGCATACCAAAATTTCTACATTATTCCAACATATTAGATTGGCGTATCCAATACAAAATTGTATATTACATAAATAATACTAATAAATTTAGTTAAATGTTTGATTTGCTGACCATAATTCTTGTCAGCATGTGCTATTTAAATATAGATTTAATTGTCTACTTATATGTTTCATCGTCAATTGTAAAGGAAATTGGATTGCAAGCTTTGTGCATCAGCTTGTGCCAATATTTCATTTTTAGAGCCAGACAATGTCGATGGGGTTTTCATTCATGTGCGCTTGGCACGCAACAAGCGTGCAAAATAACAGTCTTCCAAAATCATCACCGGCACTTGCGCACACAATAGACTCGTTTTTGGTATGTGAATGGGGGTGGGGTGGAGGAAGGAAGGCGAGGAGAGGGGATCAAGGGCTGGGTAGGGGGCAACAGGGATGTGAATGGTGGGGGGCAGTGGTTGAAAGACTTAAGATTATAAATCTTGAAATGGAAAATGACAGCAGACTGTTCATCTAAAAATAACCAACCTCTTGTAAAGCGAAGGTGGCAACGCAAAGAAAACGTGTTTTAAACTACCGCACACGCTGTTGTTTGTCTAATACATAGGAGAAACATGACAAGTGAAACAGAGGTGCCACAGCATATGCACAGAATGCAATGCATCCATTAAAATATGTTACTAATTTACACACAGCACTTTATTCGTAAATACTTCCTGCCAGACAGCAGCAGACAATACAATAAATGATCTTCTATTACATAATTTTTACAGCCATATCAGCAAAGCTTCATATCCACAAAGGAAATTAATGGAATGAAAAGCTCTGCTGTGATAAACAGTTTTGTTTGTCCTCCAATGGGATTGCATATACGCTCAAGACGGCATACTTAAAGTCTTAAAAGGCACTGCGCGCTGGGAGCGAGATTAATTATTTGCAGATTTAATGCCCACTCTAAAAAAATCCATTTCAGCTCAAGATCTACATAGTTGATACATTTTCCCATCAGTAGCATAGGATAGAGAGAGAGAGAGCGCTCTCATTGTAACTTGAAGTCCTTCATTTCTTAATCTGCTGTATCGTAACGCAGCTGCTATGAGCCCACGGATGAGTAAACTCGCATCGCAGGTCAACAACTCAACACAGCAGAGGCAGCGCACAATACGCTTTCGTAAACACAAAGAGGAAAATTAAGCCGGACAGCAGCCTGCCAAGTGCGGTCATATATGGGTGGAAATAGTCATGCAAATGACGTATTGACTCGTATTTACCGCGATGTGGTGGTGTGGGGGGTGGTGTGTGTGCAGGAAAGAAACACATAAGGCAGGCGGTGCGCGATTGTGCAAAGTGCGTCCTCAAGAGCGCGTGTGTAAGTGATGCTAAACACATCTTGAAACATCGGGTAGGCAAGTCGTATATCAACCCCGGCTGCAGGTGATGCTCCGGGTTTACAGATGCTACGCTCGAAATGTAATCGGTTAAAGGCTCATAGCTCACGAGGGGAACGATACCTTTTATGGCCAAATGCTTGACGACACGGGCTTAATTATCGCTGTTTTAAACAAATCGCATGGTCTCATACGAAACGATTAAAGGCAGTCAAACACTTTAGTGTGTGTTCGGTTAAAACAAGTATCGCCGTTATTTTAGAAACCGAATGTATTGCTCTTACGTAACATGATTTAGATGATACATTTGATATAAATGCACCATATGCATGAATGGAATTCATGCAATGAGAGCCTGAACTGATAAAAACGTGATTAAGTGATTAAACACATTGCAAATATGCATCATTCATGATACGTCAAGCAGAGACACGTAACATCACGACAACATGTTGTCCTTTTCAATACGCGTCAACCGAATAGGCTAATCACACTTTATGGATCACTTCACCTTAGACATAACAATGCACTAAGTATCTGTCATGATATTAAATCAGATGCGTCTGGTTAAAACAAGCCACACTTCTGGCACGAAAATCAACTGAAGCAAAATATCCCGTGTATTTTTCTCGAACATTAAATAGCTGTGCTTTGTGAATTAACAACGCAATCAAACACATGTATTATGCAGGATGATGCCACTTAAAAGCCAAACAAATCTTGCTATATTTGTTATGGTTATAAGGTATACATTACAAAACAAATATTACATGTACGCCATAGTGGAGATATCATAAATGTGCAAAAAAAACAAAAAGTGTCAGTCGTATTCCATGTAACAAAAAAAAAATTAAAACATCCTTAAACCATGTAGAAAAAAAAACGATGCAAATTGCAACACGCATTAAAAAAAAAAGTATAGCCATCACAGTACCTTGTCCATTAGCAAAACCTGCTGCGAGGGTCGAGAACACACAGAGTAAGTTGAGCATCATTGTCCTCTGTTCAGTATAGTCCAACCCACCGCGGGCTCCTGGTCCCTGCACCGTGAACAGCGCTCGCGATAACAACGGTCAAGCAAGGGACAGAACACGCACGCCTCGCAGCATTACGGATCCTAACCGAGTTATAACCGCCACCAAACTGCGGAGGCGCACACGCACACGCTAGGGACGGCCCCCCCTCCCTCCTCCTCCTCTCTCCCACGACGTTGCCGCGGCGAACGAACTGAACCACCGAGCGCAGATTTCGAGGAGGAATAAACACGCGGGGGCGGATGGGGAGGGCGGAACGGAGGGGTGGGAACCATCGCGGGCAAAAATAGGGTGGGGGGGGGGAGGATCGGCCTGATTCAGCTACAGCCAATGGTGGGAAGGCGAGCGGGCAAGCCAATGGCAGCCCCTTTGCATTATTAGTTTATTGCAAGACGACGAGATTGATAAAGCGTCCGTGGCCCGGGCACAAAGCCAAGCAGCTGATGTTGAGCGAGCGGAGGAGGAGGAGGAGGGACCCGGGGTTTTGGAGCAAGCCGATAGAGTGGGGGAGAAAGGTGTCTTGGCAGTGTTATGAACTGCAAGGTGGAATAAGGGGCACGGGGAGCATGCACTCTCAGAAGAAGATGAAAAAAAACACAGTTTCGTGGCTCATATGCACATTTCCACGTGAATGAATACGAGTTTCACACATCTTGATAAGCAGTATTTTGTCCAGACAACAAGCTCCCAATCCGCGCTTACTCGGTGGTGTTGTGCTGAGCATTGTGCATTTTTTATGAAGAGCCTTTACAAAAGAAAACAAATACAGTATTATACAGCAAAGCGATGCTGCTGCTGTTGCTGCTTTGCCTGCCCTTGAAAATGTTGTGATTTTTCCCTGGTCTGTGAACTGTAAAAACTGATTGGAATTAAATGAGTTAAATGTTGCATATATTTAGTTTTCACTGTTCTTAAAATGATGGCATTAGGAAGGGAAACTGTCAAATGTACGTGGATATGTGCGTGAAATTGTTCTAAGTCAAAATCAAGTACCGATACGTAGACTGTGAAGAGGCTCCAAAGAGGCATTTGATGAATTGGAACTTGACGCAGTCATCCAAGCAATCTTTACCATGTATAAAGATAAAATACTAAAATGACATGAGGAAAGTAAAATTATATATCGGATTAAGAGTACGGCAATTGAAACACGCTCATCATTGCTTTTCACATTGATTAAATGATCACGAACATCAGCTGAATTCATTACCTCAATATTTGTTCCAATCATTTTTTCAGAATTCAATGTCATCAGTAAATATTTAATGCAATTTAAGTAGACTTGTTTATAAACACTGTATATAAAATATCAATTTCCAAATTAGGCTATATGAACCAGTGCATAACACAAATGCAAACACACATGTACAAACACTATTTATAAGTCGGGCATTGCCAAAAGGGACAAAAGAACACTGGGAAAAGGATAAAACTCTGGTGAAAAGATCATCTCATGATTTTACAGAAAATTGCATCGCCACATATGCTATCTCACAATATATTGCGATAAAGCGCAATCTGTCTTGCTGTGCATTAAACCAAGGGTAGCATGCCAGATAAGACCATGTTAAGTGCACTCTAATTTTTCCATGCAGCATTTTACATCTGAAAAGCAGGCCACTTTTTCCCACCATGAGCTTTGTTTTTGCCCATGTCTGTGTATCAAGTAGTGTGCTGCCCCCTTGTGGGGAGCGGTGGCACAGTGGTTAGCGCGTTGCGCTATGAGACCGATACCCGGGTTTAATTCCCGCTCACGGCCAACACCAGTGACGATTATTTGAACCGCTCTTGGGCCTCCGCTTGGTTCGACTCAGCCTCAAATGAGTACCTGCTGTGATGCATAAGCATCGCCACTCGGGAGACAAAGGCGGGCGTGTTGCTGGCCACCCACCACCTCGTGTACCTGTTCCGGCCTTCATAGGTGCTCGCTAACAGCACTTGCCCCACACGTCTCATAAGGCTATACTTTGTCTTTGTGCTGCTTCCAATTGCTGGAAGGCTTCTCATTAGAGGTCAAATACAAGTAGGGTTTTTCATTTGTTATACCATTATGGATTTTGGAGGGAAAACCATCACGCACAGTTATGGCTGCAGAGCAAGCTCCCGAGAGAATACGTCACAAACTAGGTTTAAGACAAAGATGACCAAACATACGTTTTGAAACCAAGGTTTCAGGCTGCATTGTGCAATGCTTTCCATCAATTGCACTTGTGTCCTCTCCATCTCCATACCACCTGAACTTGTTTTGTGTTCAGGCATATCAATGAGTTATTGTCAAGTGCAGGAGGTAACAAAATATTTCTGGTGTTTTCCCCAGTCAGGCATGTTTGCAAGTAACTGGTGTATGCTGTTGTCCAACGTGATTGATTATATTATTTACACACTGGAATTTTCAGTAGCCCACAAATACAAACGTATATTTAATGCAGTTTTGTTTTGCTTACATTAAAACAATAAAGACTCCAATAATAGGGTTTTTCCCCTTTTTTCTGGCAACAAAACTGAAACCTTTTTACAAGGATTCATGTCTGCATTAACCACAATACCTGCAGTCAAAACGCAAACAAAAACACACTATGATAATATATGCATTGTCCTTGAAACTGATTGGTCCACACCAAGGGACGGTTTTCTTTTGAGCCTCGACCCAATTGGTGCTCGACCAGATGACGCCAAAAGACGTGAGGGGAAAAACCCTATTATTATTATATTTTGGGGAGGTCTAATGATGTAAATAAAGACTCCATTTCATTTGATATTAAGACAACCACTAAAAGCCCTGTTTTTACCTGCCAATTTATTAATTTATGCCAGTTGATTTCTTGCTATTGCACATTATTGTGATCTGAACACGATCGATGTATACTAAGACGGATGATTTCTAATTATGCAGTGTTTACGACGTAAGAGAAATCACAATTCAAAATACACAACATTACAACCAACCAACATACGCATAATATAAAAAAAAAAGATAAAGGTACTTGCTCCAGCCTCCTGTGGCAGAAAGGCCTCCACTAGTCTAGAGTGATCTCTGCATAAACCCTCAATTATATTTCGGGCCTCCTCTTCCACGCAGACGAGGAGGAGGAGGAGGAGGTATAGCCCTGTGAGCCATGCGGTGGGAGTACCCATACTTTACCCCATCAAACGCAACCTACCGATCCGACTACCTAGTGGTGTACCCACTCACACGCCTGGGTGGTGGGGGTGGGGGAAGTATTTAAGAAACGTGCTCATCCGTTCAACTGCCCCACCTGCATTGCAAATGCAGTGTGCTGCCCATGACACCACGGCAACAGCCCTCATAATATAACATACATTACCAACCTCATATACTTTATATAAAATAGCTGATATTCTTCCATGCATCTCTTTTCACGTCTGTACATGTCAGCAGCATAAAAACACAGGTTTCTTTATTACTCAAATATTTTAAAGTGTATTGATCCTGCTGAACATCAAACGGTACCGTAATACATGTTTACAAAGCAGTATTTGACATTTTTCAAAAATGTTATTATTAAGGGGTTGCGTCTGTTCATCCAAATGACTGATGGCAGTCTGAATTGCCACCTTTTATTACAAAAAGCTTTCTTACACTAAACACTCACTGACAGCTTCAATTACTCTAAAGTGTGGCTTGGGTCAAACGTAACTGTGGAGGCTCTTAAGTCATTCATTACACTATGTAACATGATTTTTGTTCCTGGGTAGTAAGTGTTATTTTGTAATTGCTTATGCCTAAAAAGTATAGAAAATGGATATTATTCCCCACAAACTTTGCTTTTGTGTCCAGGACTTTACGTGAAGGAATGACACAAATGCACACGTTTTCTCATTGAAAATTGGTAAATTTCAAAATATCACTGTCCTGGTCACAAAAGCAAAGGTTGTGTAGATAATAGCCATTTTCTGTACTTTTGAGGCATAAGCAATGAGGAAATAATACTTACTACCCAGGAACAAAAAACATTATAAATTTGTTACAGAGTGTTATTAATGGAGTGGATTATTAACTTTGCTTTTGTGTCCTGGTCACAAAAGCAAAGTTTGTGGGGAATAATAGCCATTTTCTGTACTTTTGAGGCATAAGCAATTGGAAAATAACACTTACTATCCAGGAACAAAAACATGTTTTTGTTAGTGTTATTAGCTGAATGCTGCCATCTGCTGGTACAATTTTTCGTGTGATTTTCAAAACCAATTTTCACTCCACAATCATTTTTTTCCCCCATTTCGCTTATAACACGCTATAAGAGATGAGCAAACGCACACCAAAAAATAAATACATGTTTTCTTAAGGCGCCTCAAAATGTCTCATTGGAAAACACCCATATTGGTAATTTCACAAGTCTGTCTTTGCAATTGCCCAATGTGTTGTTTCTTAAACGCATTTTTTCTGCAAAATCAGACAAATTAAAATCCTTTTCTGAGAGTGCCCTCGTATGAAATTTGTTCTCATTGCTCCATCTCCACAGCAAATATGCCACTAGTTATTAATATTCAACTTTGCATATGCTAATGTTGGAAAAAGCTATTTTATTATGCAGAAAGTTGTATATTTTTATTCATCCTCAGCCGTGTTCTTTCCGTCATTGGATGAAGGCCTTCCCATGTTGTTGCCACCCGATAGCCACGTGATGCCACAATCCATCTTCCTCCTACACACGAGCTGATCGTATCACTCCATCTCTGCAGAAATCATCCTCTCGGGTGTATTCTCTGCTTTGGCTTCCATTCCATCACTAGTCTCATCCATCAGCAACCATACCTTCCCCACTTACTTTGCAAATAGTCAATGTAAGATCTATAATTTGTGGTTTGTTCTAAAATACATATGTTTTTCTCTTCCTGCCTCAGTGCAATTTCAGTCATGCATCTCTTCATGCTTCTCTGCATACTTTTTAGCTTTTGTTGTATTTTCTTGTCAATGTCCATGTTTTGATCCATGTATCATCAGAGGCAATTGAAAACTTTCTTCCAAACTTACATTTGTACATTGATTTTCATTGCCAATTACAGTTTTCCAAAAGTACTCCATTATGCTCTTGTTCACCTCTTTAGTTTATCAATTTAATCCCGATACACATTAAATAATAGCCCTAGGCATAGTTATTCTGCTGCATTGTAATTCATTTGTTGAGGGTAGCTGCTGTTACATGACTACTGCTTTGCTTGTATTTATCTTGAGCCAACTTTGCAGCCCTCTTTGTTATGCTCTTGAGTAATTTCCTGCAATTCATTTGCACTGATTAATATAATGGCTATGCTGTCAGAACATTTGATATGCTAAATCCTTTTCCCCCATTTATGCTTATGTAGTTATTTAAATAATCCTAAATGCATTGTGAATATCCTTGTCAAAACGATGTCCTTGTCTGATTCCTCTTCTAATTTGCATGCTCTTACTTTCTGCATGCAATCTCTGTACCAGTCCCATATCGATAAATGCTTTTGATCATTTATATCTATATTTCACTAAATCTTTGATCTGTGAAGGCTTGAATGTCCGCATCATTTTCCACAGAATCCAAATGCCTTTCGTAATCTACAAAAGACAAATATTTAATTCATATTAATCTTAGTCAAAGTTATTTCTTGCTCCAATTAGCATTACGGCGGTGCTCATCTTCTGTTTATAACTCTTATTCGATGGTTGGAATTCACATTCCTATGACGGGGGTAAGTCTCTGCGTAGGACAATCACTGTTGACTTTCCAACAAAATTGTACCTATTTTATCAGCCAACCGGGATTTTAACTCGCAGACTTTCAGTTGTAAACCACTCGCTGTTCAATTAAAATAATCTATCTTACCTTTGAAAATTATGTCAACCCATAGTAATCGAGACTTAAATGCAACAAACACTCACATTTACACCAATCTGGTATATTTTAATGTGAAATACAGTACTACATTTGCACCATCATCTGGAGAATATTATTTAATTAGTTACATTATTTAATGGTCGACAAGGCTATCAAAATGTGTATGAAACTGAACTCCTTTGAATTTCCAATCTAATTTGGCAACATCCATAGGCCAACATTTGTGAACGGCTCTCTTGATCGGCGTATCTAATGACAGTAGCCATATTGAACGTTTTATGTATATTCATCAAGCATAATGTGTTTGCGCATTGCACGTCATTCCATGGTGAATAAAAACTAATTAAATTGCTTGAATACAGTGCCTGCCAAATGGCCATTGTAACCAGTGGAGTGTAAATAATTGAAATGGCATAACAAAAAAATATTATTGCTGAACGGTGGATACTGTTTTAACATATATTGTTGTTTACAAAACAAACCACCTTTGTGCAAATCTGTTGCAGGAATTTGCATACATCTGGGATACTAACACCCATCGTTAGTGATGTATATAAGACATTTCATATCTGATAATGTCATACTTCATGTTTTAAAGGTAAAGCGTGCCCGTGCGCAAACAAGAAAGGGAGGATTGCATTCATCCCTGCTGATGGTCGTGACTCACTGGTGGAAAATGTCACTTTTCAATCGCGAGGTCTGTAGTAAATCTATAGAGAGACCGCAGCAGTCTTCCTACAGTCAAGTGCTGTTCATTTTATCAAGCCCAGAGTAAAGTAAATGATGGGTTAACTCTAACCGGGATTTAAACTCATGATTTCAACACTGATTAAACTGTCGGTCTTCTTAATAAACTCTATCCCTGTCCTAAACTTAAACGAGAGTACAACCCCGAAGGCTGCATATCTCTTCAGCCAATAAGAACATACACTTTCAAACGTATGCAAGGCAGATAAATAAGACTGCAATGAATATATGTGACCTATCCGGCTTATATATGTATTATATTGCTGCGAAGGTTTTTACCGTCGTGTTGGATAGCTCTCTGATCTGTTGTCGGCTTGCACTGCCTGCTTCTTTTAGGTCCCTGAAGAATCTCGCACAACACGGAGTGTGAAGTCAACGAACGTGCAATTTTAAAACTGAGCATAGAGTGATGATTTTACGGATTTCTGGATGTTTTATGTTGACATGCGTGCATTTTTATTTCATCTGATGGGGATTACAGCGCGTCGGTTAAGACGGTATTAACAAAAAAATACACATGACATTTCTCTTGTGCATTCGGATTAACATTTCATTCAGTAAATGTGCTGACAAAAGACATTTTTACATATATGATGGATGTGTCAGAACAGTATGCAGTGTTAATTTCTATATCAGCTGCAGTTTTTTTCCCCAGGATAGCTGGAAAATGTCATTTATGTGTTTTCAGTCTTTCAAGGACCCAGTGAAACCATGGAAATCATTTGTATGACTGCTCTCCCGTCTGCTTGTAGACCTTAGATATCCCGAGAGACTCTTTACAGAAGTAGGCCATTGTTCGTGATGTGATGGTCTAATTAGTAGTTTTCTTTTAATGACCTATTCAAAAAATATCCATTTGTACTTGTTGAAAGCGTATATTCTGTTTATGCCCGTGTGCATATATATACACACACATATCATTGGCAAGACTGGATGGTCTGTTGGTTAGTGCACTTGTGTTTGAGCCAGTTTATAATGGTTTGGCAGCGTGAATCTGGCTGCTGCGCAGTGATGTTGTAAACACATTAAAAAAGCATCCATTTCGCCCTTTTATCGCAGGGTCATTGTATACTAATAGCCCAAATTTTTGTTTACTTAAACAACAAATGTTTGAAAGAAGAAATGAAGAAAATAAATAACTTTATTAATACACAGGACAATAATATTGTTACATCGTTCTGAATATCTATAAACTAAATTTTGATTTAAAGCTTTCGTGACTGCAGTAATTCATATTCTTAGTTTTTTTGGTAAAGTCACGTTGAAGAGAAACAACAAAATAACAAAATATATATAAAACAATAAAAAAATTCTCACGACGTTTCGACCATAACTCAAACGGTCATCATCAACCAACACACCTGATGATGACCGTTTGAGTTATGGTCGAAACGTCGTGAGAATTTTTTATTGTTTTATATATATTTTGTTATTTTGTTGTTTCTCTTCAACGTGACTTTACCGAAAAAACTAAGAATATCTATAAACTAGTTTCAATTAACTTTTAACACCCAATATCAGTTTGAATTTAACATTTTTTTCTTTGCAGTGTTGATTAAAGTATTACTCATTAGATATTCTGTTAATGTATGATAATACAATGCCGTGGCTGGGTGACTCGTAGCCAACTTACAGTAATCTAGTTAATGCATGCTATATCCTGCAATTTGGAGAATTCACACCTCAGCCGTGTGATGATGATGATAGCATTGTGCAGCTAGAGAATGTGCTGGCTTGAATATCCATTGCTGTTTTTCATTGCTGCGTTTTAATGTTCATCTTTGTGTGGAACAACATTCATGGTCAGAATATTTTTTTTGGTACACGGTGCACTTAACATCCCTGCATTGAGTTATGAAAAAGTAAGTATTGTAGTGTCAATTCTTAATTATGTACGGTGTGTAACATAAAGAATGGACTCATAAAAATATGAATATATTCTACCTTTTGAAATAGTGTCTTAAAAAATGTATGAGATAAAATTAATTCATCATAATTTTCTCAAATTAAATTAACATACTTTGGTGGGAAAAAAAAAAACATTTTCATCCAGTTAGCATGACACCCCGACTGACAAGCCAGCAGTAATCACAGTGGGCATTCTAAACACGCACACTATTAGCTAAATTCCATTCAATACTCTCTGTGCACGAAGGTTCCGAACTAACCGATAAGCAGGACAAGTTGGAGTTAACGCGCGCTTTGGCTGCAGCGTGACGGCTCCGCGAGCCGTTATGCGAGTCGCGCCGTTGTCTGCCCATGGCCAGCGAGCACGTGCGAGCCCGCGATAGCACGACAGCCAGAGAGAGAGAAAGAGAAAGCAACAGTGACAAAACAGAGCAATTCGCGTGATTACACACGTGACAGCTAGCCCGAGCGTACGCCGAAACAAACGCGTGTTTACACGGACCGACGCTGACATTGCTGCAATGATGGCACCGGTGAAATATGGGCGCGTTAAGATGACAATGTTGAAACGTAAATGTGAATCGCTTTCATTGAATAAGCCCCTGTCTGTTCGCAATCACAAACATTAGCGCTGTGCAAAAGGGCTCTTCATATTATATACAGGGCAAACAAAGTCTCTGTTTGTACAAAGTAATTACTAACCGCTTTCACATGCCTGTGATGTATAAGCTGTTTTGTTGCAGAACTAGTGTGTGGGGGGGGTGTGGCAGAGTGGGGGGCATTAAAGTCAAATCATTGTTTGGAATGTTTTGTTGGTTTAAAGGTCACTATGTAAGTGATGAACATGCAGCAATGTATTGTTTATCACTCGCACCATGCTACTTGTAGCGACTCTTTCATAATAGGAGGATGAATGTACAGTAATGAAATATTATATAATTGATTCAACATTATTTCTTTGGAAAGTACACGTATTTAATATTTCGACTATTGTTATTTTTAAGTCTTTGGAGTCCAGTTGAAAATGCATGGTGTGCAATTGAACATGTGTAATATTGGGACATTAGGACTTATATTTTCATATCAGTCGTGTTGGGTATATGCAGCTAAATCAGGGGCATGGGGACACTTGTAAGCCAGTGGGGTGTGGGTGGGGGAGCATTAACCATGGGGGCCCTTGCCAATTAGGCAAATGGGTTCATGAAGTGCAGTGATATAGTAAATGGCATAGCTGGTTCCCCATGTCCAAATCATTGATAACGTAAACAAATCACCGTTATCAAAATGCACGATGGTTACAAAAAAAACTGTCAGTGCTTTCACTTTGCAATTAACTTTCTCTAAATACAGAGGACGATTGAAAATGTACCAAGTATGACCTTCCAACGAAATATGTCACATCTGCTGAAGATTGTTCGCTAGAGAGAGAGATGCCTGCATCATCAAGTTTAAATTCTATCCTTATAAAAAATACAGTTGAAATTGTTTTCTTCGTAAAAGGAACCTCAAATTGTTGGTTGGAAGGAACAAATAAAGTGACCATCATGTCATATGTCAATGCAACTACGTCGGTGATTCTCTGCCCCACCATGAATGTTCTCGGTATATGAATACTCCTCTTGCATTTACTATAACCAGCAGCGGCATTGTCATCCTAAGTGAGTATAACAAACTGGTACGATGACCTCACGTAGCATACATTTTCCACTGAACACCATCACTAATTTCCCTAATGCACTGTCAACATCAAGCTGCTGTGTGGTCAGCATCACAGTCAGTTTAATTCGCCATTATTTTATCAGGTGCTTTACGTAACTATCTGCGTACTGTATTCTCCTATCTGTCGCTAACACGGTAGAAATGTTAGTCATAATACTTGTGAAATTTTCCACACTGGCAAAAGGAATAAGATTGGAACAGTGTGTCATGGGACACTTAATACTGTGGACACGCGAAATAACAGCCATTCAGCTATCATTCAATTGCAGTACTTAACGATTCTTACATATATTTATTCGTGAAGTAAAATGTTCAAGGTCAGCCTGGTACATTTGGCTGAAGGAATGACAGAAACAAAACCTAGAGTTCAATATACCGCTCCTCTATACTCACCAGATGGGCAGGAACAGGTTAAAGTGCCCACATTTATCACCACATGCAGAAACTAAACTTTAATTCCACCTGTTTATTGGTTGATCAATCCAGGCTCTGGTTGCATAAAACATCTAAAGTAGAATTTTCACCGATTATAAGTTAAGATATTTCAATTCGGTGTGAAAATGGGAATAAAAATGAGCACTAATTTTGATCATGTTCACAGTTATATATAATGCAATCCAAGATGCCTCCCCTTTTATATACTGCGAGTAGTTTTGACTATCTTATTGGTTCTTTCGGTAAATTCACGTCGAAGGGAAATAATAAAATAATAAAAATAAAACAATAAAATAAAAATCTCGCGACGTTTCGGCCACAACACAAGTAGCCTTCCTCAGGTGAAGAAACAGAACTGTCGGAAAGACAGTGCTCCAATGAACACTGCTAAGCTTGGCAGCGTATCTTAAGCTGGGTGGGAGGAGCAGAGCGCCTTGACCAACGAGTTTACATATCAATAGAAGAATTTAGCATTGAAGTAGCTGTGTTAATGTGATAGATTAGCAGGATGGTAAAGTCAGAAATTAGCATGTAACTGAAAGAACCAAGAAGATAAATCCCAGCAGTCACGAAAGCTTTAAATCGAAATTTAGTTTTGACTAGTCTGTCACAAGGGTAGTGTTTACTTCTGAGAGTTCCTCCTCTTCATCTAATCCCTGAGATATATGGGGATGGGGGGGGGGGGGGTGCTATAAAATCCTCCACTATTTTAAGATTATTTTTTTTCAATGTTTTATAGTTCTATATGTTTTTCTCGAAAGGCACCATATGTGAATGGCATTTGAATGTTGCTCAAAAGTAGTCTAAAATGCCCTGACCTAGAGAGTCTTGTGTTTTTCCTTCATTAAGTGTTGCCCTCTCTTCGGCTACGTTGTCATGCAATTTGCATTGCATCAGCCTGTGATTTTTTATTCAGGGCATATAACCTCCTGTAACATGGATCAAAAACATTGGCTTTGACCGAGCAAAAGGTGCCAAATAAACTGGAAAAGTGTTCAAAGGAGCATGGGATTACGCTGACAGGAAGAGGAACACATGGATTACAGATTATACTCAAATTTTTGATATATTGACTGGTAAAGAAGTAAGTGGGCTTGAACAGGGCACTTCACGAGAAGAGATGATTGCCGGTGGGCCTGAGAATAACAACAGGGGCAAGAAAAGGAGGGAAATGCCAATAAGAGCGTCCACCATGGAGATAGTACGATGACATCAGATTCTTTTGCAAGTGGTGGGTGGATGATCGCATAATGAGACCATGTGATATGGGGAGGCCTTCATCCAGCAGTGGATATAGATTGTGGCTAAAGCTGATAAGGTCAGGAGAAGGAAAAAAACACCTCAGGTAGTGTTAACAAAATCGCTTAAGGTGTTTTATGCATCCACCACTCTACTCAATGAAACTGGCTTAGCAGTGCGACAGGGGCATTAGCCACTGAGTAACACAGCCACTCTGACCACTACTTTATATTATCTCTCACTATCAATGACCAAAATGGGGGGGGGGGGGGAGGGGGATCCACCAAAATGTATTGTAAGATATCAATGCAATAGTTGTTATGCTGCATTAAATATTCTGCATTGTACAAACGTGCAATGTGTTTTGTCCTCATGCTGCTGATGCATTGCACAAGCTTTGATAAACGAATTATGAGGATATGCATGTGGGAGGTAGAAGAGCTAGCAGATATTTAAAGTTGATGGGGAATTAACAGCTCAAATAATTACATCACAAATGGATGTTTTTTTTATTTACTAGGTGGTGTGCCATGGGCTCAGATTTAAAAAGAAAACCCAAAATCGAATTGAATGATTGATTTCATTAAGCACGGATGAGATAGGAATAATTTTGTGACTCGATAATTGCGTTGATACTGCGCTATAATAAATATTGTACTTTAGGCATCAGTAAAATAAATACTAGGCATGTAATGATTAATACGTTAATCAACTAAAGAGTATGGTATTCTGATGTTCACAGCACATGCATTAACCTTCTGTTTGTAAGTAACATTATTCAAAATATATGGAACGTATGTCTACATTATTTGCAAATTGTACCTTTAGCCTAATGGAATTAATTATTAAGAAGAAAAAATATATGAGAGACAGCCCAGATCAGATTGTTGATAATTAATTCCACCACGAGGTGTGGGGTGAATGGTCAAATGTCTACAGGACAGGATATATAGGTTACAATCACTATAATGTAAGGGTCGAATGCCTGCTGCTCAATTCCTGGGGTTTAACCCAATTTGGGGGATGTATTACAATTACAATTTTTGGTATGTTAAGAATTAAAGAGATATTCCTGTTATCGCCTCACATTAATATCTGGATTACAAACATACTATGCTTTCAAAGACATTGCTTAAACAACCATGCTGAATAACACACAGTACAACCCAAAACCAAATGGGAAATATATTTTTGCGAGTCCTTAAACTGTCTGTGCCACTGTTTTCATAGCCTTGTGTCAAATAACCTTTAAAAGGTTCAAACAAATGAAATTGTTAAGGGGCTAAGTCCGGGCAACATTCGGCACGTTTCATAACAACCCCTAAGATGTTCCACCAACGATTGCACTGTGTGCTGTGAATGCCACTCTCGTTGAAGAGTCCACAAGCATCTCGAACAAGTCACAATACAAAAACAGTGGTGACCGGCTGTTGATTTTACAGGAAGGCAACTATTAATGGAACCTGGATGTTCCAATAAACTGTCATCATTACCTTTGCAGCAGAAGGTTCGGGAGACTTGATTTTTTTTTCCTTGAATGGAGAGCCTTGGTGTGTCCGTTGAGCTCTCTGGGGCCTATACTCCAAGCTCAAAATAATGGGTCCAAAATTCAATGGCAGTGATGACGCAAAACGAAAATGCATTGCTATCATGTAAGACATCTGGTGGAAAAGGCATGACAAATGTAAATTATGTTTAATTTATGATCTTCTGTTAATATTTATAGCACACAACGGGCACACTCTTTATAAAAAAAATTCAACTCGTCATGGATTGTTGAATGAACTGTTCCTGCACATAAACCTATAGCCACTACTATGTGCATATTCCTACTTATCTATCATCCAATATAAACTTCCAACATGAGGGAGATTGACTGGAGTTTAAGCATCAACTGGCCTACTACATTATTCTTAATGTCAATCCTGTTCACTATCTGACTGCAGCCTTTCCACCCATTTGTAAACATTGTCATAATTCATACAATTGCCAACATGCGGGAGCTTTATTCGTTCGTTGATAATCGAATCTGTCTTTACACCCTCAGAGGAGAAAACAAAAAAACATTGTCGTTCTGCTGATATGCAGTTGTACAAGGGCAGCCACAATCATGGATAATGTGATATATCTGCAAACGAGCATGCAGTGAAAACGTCAGACAGCACGCCGAACAACGTTCAGAACAAAAACACACTGGAGGATTAAAGCCTGCAATCGATCACTATTACCATGGACGGTTCTTATGAAAATGAAAACGTGCATTTCAAGTGTTGCAGCCAGCATGTCAAAATGGTAGCAATTGCCAAACTATGCAATTGCTTTAATTTACTTATAGAAAATATGTTTTCGCGCATAAAATGCAAGTGATCAAATGATAAGACTGTAATGTATACGTGCAGTGCTTTCGTTTATCTATGATCAAACGAGCGATGGGACAGCACTAATCTTCACTAGCGCTTCCAATACAGTTGCGTAAATTCCACATTCTTGTGCCTGAAGCCACTCATTCACTGTTGACCACCCGCAAAGTGGTGGATAAAGTCAGACTCATTTCTGAGCTATGACAAGGTGAGTCGAGCGTTGACCGGGATTTGAAATCACGACCTTACAATTATGAGTTGAGCGCTTTAGCAATAGGATTACCTAGTCGGAACATAATATTACCGGTAATTTGGTTGCATTAATGTGTAAGAGTTTCAGTGGAGGTGTTGAAGAGGTGTGTCTAGGTAATAAAACAGTTAATTTCTACAATTAACAACATGTCATGTTGTGTACTTTGTAATGGTCTCTTTGGTGTCATTGGACCTGTTTCAGGGAATAAAATAAAATAAAAACAAGTCTCGATCACTTTGTTCCTTTTGCTTTTATGAACGATGGGGGATTGTAGTTCTGTTCATTAAATAAAAGAGTATGTTAACAACCATTTATGACTGTCCTGAATCTATGCATTATTAATAGTGTGTAAGAAAAAACAATGGTGATTAAAGACAACTGTCATTTCTTATAACTGTATTTTCATAAAACACGTTTTTATACCACCTACCTTGTTAACATGTTTAAAACAAGTTATCCATTAATATATTTAAATGAAAAGCACGTTGATATCACCATATTCAAGGAACTAAATTTAAAAGGTATTTCATAATAAAGACTTAATTACGTCACAAAAATGGCAAGATCTTAATAATAATACTTTATAATAACCTTCAGAGCAGCAATAAAATCGCTTGCACGCAATACTTAAGTCTGTAATTACAACTTGTGTATACTAAGGGGATGAATAATTTATAAGAAAAAGGTCACTCAATCTCTCATTGCTAGGATTTTCCAGTCATATCCGATGAATAGAATTTAGGCAGAGATGTGCATATCAAATCATACCGAGAGGCAAAGTCATCATTTGTATTCTGATGTAAGCCATGGCAAGAAGAACCTCTGATTGGCAGTCACAAGAAGCTGTCTCCCAGAATGCAATGGAACATGATGGAAAGGTAAATTTCAGTGGTCGAGGATATTTATATACAGTACATATAGTTCCATTTGTGGAAGGATTTTGATTAGATGACTTTCCCACATGACTGAATCTCATGCCAAATGATGTTCCAACCATGTATGATGCTGCTCTCCCCACTCCGATGTTCCATAATTTACCTCCAGGTTGCCATTCATACCGACACGAACCACAGTTCCATAACACAACAGGTCTCGTTTATTCCTTAGAAAAATGTTAGGTGTTAATGTGAAATCCTTTGCATAGGAAAACATGTGTTCACTTGAATACAGGGGTGTGCATTCATCGCTCTTGCTGAGACAAAGTAACGTGCAGAAATTCACTGGTGCCACAATGGTTTGGCAACTGTCGCTAACAACCTAAGTTAGATTCTAAAGCACAGCTTACATTGGTGGCGAGTGTTATCTTAACCGGTTGTGGATGCCCCCAACTTCATCAACCCCATACTGACCAGAGGGGTGAGGTATGGTCAAACAACCCTGCATGACCGACATGGGAGTGAGGAGGCCTTCACTTACCAGTGGCTTTACCAAGGTGCATACATTATGAGTAATTTATTACATTTGGAAAACCATGAAGGATAAGTCACAGGCAAACCTTGTACCTTTGCACAGTTGGGAGTGTTCCAGGTTGCCTTCATACATTGGATCTGTGGGACGGAAGCAACGTGAGCAACCTCACAAGCCGAACTTTTATTCATAATTCATAGTGTGAATACTTACCATATGACAGCCTGTTTACATAGGCATGGCTGGATGGGCAGGGCCTTCAACCTCTGTGAAGGCACCAACCACATTCTTCTCGCAATTGATATCTGCAGGGTATGGGGCGTATGTGGCTGCGATGTGCAGGCTGCAGGGCATCTGTTGGGCTTGTATTAAACAAGTCTCAAGGGAACCTACCTTTTGACAGGCTATCCAGATTTCTGCCTGGTTTGTGATGTGTGTGCATTTGTGTATTCATGCTTGTCATATAGACAGTTATTAATAGTATGGTTTAGTCTTGACATTGTGCTCTCCTTTGTCATCACTTTCAATTTAAAGAAATTAGACTGAATAAACATTTAAAATCCAAGGTATTAAACATTTCATGTCTACGTTAAACAAGACAAATATAACATACTATACTGGTAAAGGATTAAACTTGCATGTGAATTAATTAACGCAATTTCGTAGCCATCTGGCTTCCATGAGAGATTCGTTCATGAGGCTATCCACATATACAAGCACAGAGACAATTTCAACCGAGAAGATGGATTCTGGCTTAGCAATCATTGGAAAGATTTGATAAACCATTTCAGGTCTTAATTGATTGTTCACGCTTACAGTGGCTTTCAGACAGCATACATTATAAAAAAAATTTCGTCTCCCCCCTCCTCTTTTCAGAATATAGATGGACTAGTCCTAAATAAACTGCCAAATCGTTGCGCGTGGCGCTAACGTTTTTTTATAAATAAATAAATGTCCCGTTTAAAAATAAATTTATGCAAACCAACACACCTGAAGACGACCGTTTGAGTTATGGTCGAAACGTGAGAATTTTTTATTGTTTTATATATATTTTATTATTTTGTTGTTTCCCTTCAACGTGACTTTACCGAAAAAATTAAGAATATGTATTTATACTCTTAGAATTATTTAAAACCAAAGAGTATGGATCCCTGTATTCACAAAAACTTCAAATCTATATATTTATATGTTCATAATTCATGTTGTAATTATCAACTTTTTTCAATCCAATTCTGGATGATGGAAGAACATAGCAGGATATTTATATACCGGGATATTTATATACCAGGGTATTTATATATGGGAGTTGTTTTGCATACCTGACCACCAGTGGCAGCTCGTGACATTTCCACGAGGTGGGGCTGTTGTGAGTGGCCTCTGAGAATATGGTGTTCTAATGATTCAAAACCTAGTCATTTTATTGGCCTTCCCGTGAAAGTGATATAACGGTCATATCTACCAACCGTAGGCATTTATTTACAATACGAAACAAACAACAACGCACTGCCAACAGCCGTGACCTGCTCTATTTGCACCCTAGTGTTGTGACATCGTCTTATTACAGCCATGGGCGCCTTGTTCACCACCCCGAATGGGTCTCGAACGGCGTGGTTACAATTCGAAGCTAATCGCAATTAGTGAAGGGAAATCTCTCACTCGGACGTCTTCACAGCCGCCCCGAGACAAATCAGACGATGGTGTTGCAGCGGTTTCTAATGTGAATAACTTGAAATTGTATCTTCATAAGGCAATTCACGTTGAAAGAATCATTCCATTAGATGTTTTGTTAAACACAACAAAACAATTTATAGAAAAGGTTTTTTTTGTGTTAGAGAAAAAAACAAAAAAAACATTATCATCTCCAGCTGCTTAGTGGGGTGATGCCCCAACGCCCCTAGTGGAGGAGCCGAGCCCTCTGACCGCACGGATGGGTGCGGGATGTTAGTCCTGGCCAGGAAGGAAACTCGGATAGTCGGGTTCATCGAGAATTGTACTCACAACTGCGCCACTACTCCAACCCATGTAATTATATTTTAAACGTGCTGTTTATGCAGTAGGTTCCTTATATTTTTGTAAACATACAACATTTGGAAATATTTCCATCATTATTCTAATTTTAATAAACACATCTGCAATCACACGCACTACTGGACGTTAATTTAAAGGTAAACATTAGTCCAGAGTTTCAATGTAGTCTACTCCCACGTGCAAAATCCAGTTTGAACATAAACAACATGGCAAGTAGCATGGTGATATTTTCGCATTTTTATTTTGATCTTCTTCGTATGACTGGAGAAGCAGTTATAGTTTGATGTTGAGGTTCGCAATCAATTCAGCGGCTTCAGGTAAGGCAGAGTGAATGGTTGAAATGCCAACAGGAATGTATCTCTCAGGGAAAATTTCAGTTTGTGGGCGATTGTCTGACTTGGGTGGCCACAGTCACAATATGGGCTGCTCCTCATGTTGATATTGATAAACCTTGCGTCACTATCTCCACTGACAAGAGTGTGGCTATTTAGAGCCCATTAGGAAGCACCTTATATGATTGGTCCAAATGCGCAACTTGTAACTTAATGCTTGTTCCTTCTAATCACATTCGCTCAAATCGCATTCACACTCATACAGGAGATAGCCACGATGTCCGTCATTCTCTTAATGACTTGAGGATTAATGTAAAAGATTATGACATTTTTTTTCCCCATTCCAAAATTACATTTTGAGGTGGTTAACCTCCTGTTGCCCATGCTTCCAGAATTTTGCAATGATCCCTCACATTGCTTTGGAGCCAAGTCTATGATAGCACTTTGGTGTCAGACGTGTAATGGTCCTATAAACAAACATAGGGTGACACGGAATGTAGGATTTTTACTTCGGGTTACTGCTATTCATGTATATGATGAGCACAAATTTGCCAATATGCGTATTTTAGAGATGAAATTCGGCAGTTTGCTGAATCACACATTTTAAAACTAGCCAATGTTTTGAAATGCAGTATCACACTAACACCAAACTATACTATTTGCTTGTGCAGAAATAGGCTGCACAGTTTAATTGTTGTGAATAAGAGCCTCGCAGATCAGATGTTTGTGGAACGTATTCAAAATAGTTAAATCACTTTTAGCCAATAGTGTGATACAAATATATTTATATTTAAGACTATAACATGAACATTTTAGTAATTATGCACACCACGTCAACTATGAGCGTTTTATTTCAATGTACAATAGTATATCATGGAGAAGACTTACTCTCTCAAAGTCTAAACATAAAATTTTAAAATAAAATATTTTTGAGCGCATGAAGTAGCAAAAACTGCAGTGAATATTGCAAAACTTCTGCAGAGAAAAACAAATGCACAAGTGACCTTGTAATAATTTCATTTTTTGCTGGACTGCAGGTAAAAGTATTTGCGATGATTTATGCTTTATTCTGCAATCACAAAGAGTGTTCAGAGCATGCTGATAAAAGCCTCAATTATGTTACCTGTCAGCCTGCTGTAAATGCCCCTCATCCCAAGGCACCACAACCAATTCCCTGTGTTCTCTATACGACACTCAACATTTAATCACCTTACACATGGACCTGCTGTGATAATGGGTACAAAATTGCACATACCACACATTATTTAGTTATTTATATATGATAGGCGCATACTTTTAAGTCAGTCATTTGAATTCCATGTCTTGCCATTCCATAATGATACAATGTCAGTTGAAATACTGCAATATTTTGTAGCATTCATTAACATTTACATTAATTTTGCATTCGGGTTGCGAAGTAAATTGTCATTTCGAAAATTATTATTTGGATACTTTTGAAATGCACATTAAAATGCCTTGATTACATGTAGAGGAATAATGTATACAGTGAAAATGAGTTATCTTGAAGTTTTCACCTTATTTAAATATTGTAACCTAATATTTATTCTTCATGCAATTCATATTTCGCTTGTTATGATTGCCAATATATAGAGGTTAATATGTATTAAAATTCCTATAAAATTACTTTTTCCCATTACTAAATGCAAATGTGTTAATTTTAGTTGTGCAAAACATATGGTGTGAAATGTATAATTTTATACAATTACATGTGTATGTGTGTTTTGGTTGGTTTGTATTTAAATAATTAAAAGTCACATTAATTATTTTAATCCCTCTGTCAATTAAACTTCTGAATGAATGAATGCTTCCCCATGCTGTGTCAGTCATGAGGATTGTTTGACTACTTCACCATGTTGCTCAAGACACGTCGATAAACGGGGAACATCCAAGACCAGTTCAAATATAACTCGCCATTCATGGCTAAGAATCAAACTCAAGCATTCAGGTTCATAGTTGAGTGTGCTAACAACTGCGCCACTACTCCGCACAATTGATATAATTTGACACAATTTACTGTATAAGATACATTTTAAGAGGACCGCACATATGTGTTGCATATATATTTGTTTCAGTCTCCAAAGATTATCTAAAAGTTTTTGTTAAACACTGCACCTCTATGGTATTTAACTTCTATACACCTTGGTAAAGATACACTTTACTTTGCATTTACTAAAATGCTAATATACATAACCAAATTACGATCTTGTAAATACATTCTATGCTATATGGTTGTCTACTATCCTTACTTGATTAGACTTAAAATGAACAAATAATAACAAGCAGATAGATTGATTACTTATTAAAATACCCATTCAGAAACGTATTGTAAAGTAAACATAAGTAACATCAAAAGTACCATTAAATGTTAACGCACCATCAAAGTCATCGCGAATCTTTACTCAAAGGTGTAATGGGTGGCACTCATCTCTCTCTGCTGGCCTCAAATCAATGATCGATCCACTGCTGGATGAAGGCTTCCCAAGATCCTGCAATGAGACACCTGGACATGAATGATATGTATGTTCAGTATGTATGTTTAACTTATTTCGCACGTACGCAGCCAGCCGTGCTAATTGGAGGTGCGGGGGAAGGACAACAAACTTAACAAACAAAAAACTATTCGTAAGAAATGAGATTTTAATCTAGATTTCAAAGAGCATGGCTCCAGTGGCTTCCTAATTTTGGACGGAAGAGCGTTCCAGGCGGCCACAAAAGCGCATCTGAAAGCGCGCGATGCACTGACTGCCTTTGTTTGATGACGAGCCAAAAGCCGCTGCGAGAATGACCGAAATTCGCGTGATTTTTTTTATGCGCCTTGACGAGATCATTGCTCTGCCTCCTCGGTGGATACCCTCGGCATTCCATTCCTTGGCTGCCAATACTTTTACGACCACCATTCATTATTACATATATAGTTTGGATATTGTTATTTTTTTTACCTGCATTTGTTCACTAATCCACGTTGTCATCTTTCTGTCTGTCAGTGTAATTCCAAGCATTCGTTTCTCCATGCTTCTTTGTGCATTTTTCAGTTCATGTTGTCTATTTAATACACAATGGTTAGATACATTATTGTAGTTAATATGTTACTTTTCATTATCACATTCAGTTTTCCAAATTATTCAAACCTGTTCTTGTCCACTTCTTTATTTTATCTTAAATACATCGGTTTACTTTAAGGGCTGTCTCAGGTGCACATAAATAGGCTATACAAAATATATGACTGTGCTATGTAGTTCTCTGATGTGTTTTCATGTTGTACCGTGGGTTGTTCAGCACGATGTCCAACGTTTTGCT